AAATACAAATTGTATGCTTGCCCCAGATTAGACCTGATGGGAAACATGGATTTGTGGATTTTGCCTTTTTAAGACCCTGCAAACTGTGACTCAGAGCCATTTCCTGGGAATCCAGGTATGGATGGGCCAGAGCCCGTCCACCCGGCCAATATTTAATTACAGCTTGCTTTAAATTTTGCTCTGAACTATGCTAGTGGTCTTATTCTCTACCAGTTATTGTAAGCCTAGTGAGCCTAATAAATCTGTGAATTCCAGGTGACCTCTGCCCTCCACACATACGAGCAAAACATGCACACACATGAAGACAAGCACCACAAACACACACGTACAGAGAAAGCTGGGGGAAAATATCAAACACAGAGCATAGGGGTCAATGATTCAAAACTAAACAGTTAATGTCATAAACTTCTCCAAAGAAAATGGAGAGTGCATCTTCATAGCTCTGTTCTCAAGGATCCACTACCCTCTCCTGGCCACTTCCAGGTGCTGCATACACTTGTGTGTACACATACACACACGCGCTGGCACACACACACATAAAATGAAAACAAATCTAAAAACCATAGTATCCAGAGCATTGTGGAAGTCTAGACATTCTACAATTCAGCAACAAAAAGATAAACAACCCCATTTAAATCATGAGCCTAAGACTTGAAGAGATGCTCCTCAGGATGTGTAGTCTGGGCCTTTAACAGGCGTCCACCAGCTCTCATGCCATCGAGGAAAGACAAATAAAACGACAAAGAAGTAGTCTACCCTAGCCTAGAAGGAATGGCTTCTATTCATAAGCACAGTAATATGAAAGAAACAGAAAATTAAAAAAAAAATGTTGATGAGGATCTGGAGAAATCGAGGTCCTAGAAAAATAGCGCCAGGGACAGACAGACAGCAGAGCGCCAGGGGAAGACAGCAGAGCGCCAGGGGCAGGAGAGGAGGGCGCCAGGGGCAGGCAGGGGAGCGCCAGGGGCAGGAGAGGAGAGCGCCAGGGGCAGGAGAGGAGGGCGCCAGGGGCAGGCAGGGGAGCGCCAGGGGCAGGCAGGGGAGCGCCAGGGGCAGACAGGGGAGGGGAGCGCCAGGGGCAGACAGGGGAGCCCAGTTTCCCTCCCCAGCCCTCGCATCAGGCGGCTCACCTCTAATTCCAGCTCCAGCTTCCTTTTCTGGACTCTACAGGTACCGGAATTCACATGTGCATACATACAGACATACACATACTCACATAGTTAAAAAACAAAACCTTTTTGGAAAAGAATATAAGATAGTGAGTTTTATAAATAATAGTTTCGCAGTTCCTCAAAAAAAAAATTGAATGTAAACGTCCTGTTAAGGCCCAGAAAGTTTGCTTTTAATTACAAACACAAAATCATCGGAACCAAAGTTTAAAAGAAAAAGGTTTTTACACCCGTGATCATTTCACAAGTTTCCCAAATGTCTGTTTGGGAATGAGTGGACAAAGTTTGTTGTATTCAAATGCTAGAGCATTATTTGTCTATAAAGACAAGAGTGAGGGCCTAATATTGAACATAACACGGGAAGGAACCACACACACCAAAGGGTGGTTATTATCGTGGCTGCATTAGATGAAGTTTCTGGAATGGTCAGAATCATACAGAAGGAGGGAGAATAGAGATCACCAAGAGGATGGGGAAAGACGATAGTGATTTGAAGTGATGGAAAGTTCTGGAAATGAATCCCTTGACAGTTGGAGACCACAGTAGTAACAAGTTAGTCCTTGAACTGGACATTGAGAAATGGTACAAACAAGGCTGGTGGGTTGGCTTGTTGAGTAAAGACAGATGCTTGCTGCCAACCTGACCACTTGAGCTCAGTCCCCAGGACCTACGTGCTAGAACCAACTCCTACAAAAATGAATAATGCAGTTTGTTTTTTAAGGTTAAAAGCGAGTGAGATGGCTCCATGGCTGAGGGGTGGCTGCTCTTGCAGTTGATCGAGCTTCAGTTCTCAGATCCACACAATGACTCACAACCGTCTGTAACTCCAGTTCCAGGAGATCCAGTACCTACTTCTGGCCTCCACGGGCTCCAAGCTCATACACAGTACTCAGATACACAAGCAGGCAAATCATCTATTCTGTACAACTCCAACACACACACACACACACACACACACACACACACACACACACACCTGGCTTTCCTCCTTTTACAGTGATGCACACTGTATCACCCTCATGAGTTCTGCACATGATTCCACATCTGAACCAATATTGATACCAATGGCTTAGACACAGCCAATTCTCTCTTTCCCTGGTAACGGCCACCCCTCCCTCCCATCAATGTCCTGTCCCAACAGCAGCACCATTTGTTAAGCTCAGATCTCCTCCAATTCTTCTTCAATCCTGCAACTGACCAGCTTCCAAGTTTTTGTTCTGTTTTCTTTGTTATACATCCTGCTGTTTATTTATTTACTTCTTTCTTTCATGGTTTCATGGTTTAAAATACAAAGCAGACTAACCATGTAACCTGAAATTTAGCAATAGCATCAATGCAAGCAAGCCTCATCCCTGTAGTCCTAATAGGTTTCCACAGAATTCACTTCATAAAGCCTTGCTCAGAAAAAAGAGTTTTAAGTACCGGTAAGACTGTTGCTAGCTGTGGTTTTATTTCTCCATTGTCATAGTCAAGTATGCGGGTTCTTCTTATTATAGGATACCTGCCTATCCTAGAAAGTGGGGGTTACAAAGTTTATAAATATAACTCACCAATACAAAGTTGAAGCCATTAGAAAGAGCTTAATAACTACTACCAGGAGACGATTAAATTTGGAAAACTGACAGAATCTGAAGAGATTTGGACACGCAGACACACATTCCAGTAAATGTGTCCTCTGTAAAGGGGAGAAGGGTTCCCCAAGCTGCTCCACGCCTGCTTTCTTCCAGGTATCACCTTTAAATCCTGCAGGTCACCACAGGAGATGCCTGAGCCATGACACATGGAATTAGGACTAATGCACAACTCTGTGAGGCACTGATACTGTCCATTGGCACTCCGTTCTTCTGCATCTGAATGTGCCATGTTAAAACCTGGCTCCTTGGGACTTGGAGAGATGGCTCAGTGGTTAAGAACACTAGCTGGTCTTCCAGAGGTCCTGAGTTCAATTTCCAGCAACCACATGCTGGCTCACGACCGTCTGTAATGATATCTGGTGCCCTCTTAGGGCCTACAGGCAGACAGAGCTCTATATACATAATAAATAATCTTTAAAAATTAAAAAAAAAAAAAACTTGCTCCTTGGCAATCTCACTAAGCAGCCTGATGTAGTCTGTGTTCAGAGGACCGGGAAGGAAGGCTTCTGTTCAGTAAATTGATCTTTTTATCAGGGGAATTAATTCTTCGAGGAATGCCAACCAAGGCACAGAGTAAGGACTAAGGCCTATCCCACAGCATTTGTTAGAAAAATGTCGTTCTCGGAAGAAATATCACTGAATTTGGCTAGACATTTCTCAGCAGGGTCTCTCTTGGCTCATTTTGTTGTTGCTGTTGTTATTTGATTGGGTTTGCTTGTTTGTTTGTTTTGTTAAGTCTCCCTTTCCAGTTTTTATAAATGAGTCTAGCCTGTAAGCTTGTGTGGTGTAGAGGCAGGTCCTCCTTCCTGGGAAAGGGGATATTCTGGAAGTCACCTACCATAGTAAGTAGCCAATTCCTGTAACAAACCAGTTGAAGTAAGCTTGTTCTACGGCTGTTTAGATGGATCAGGCGCTGCAGGGTCAGGAACTGCAAAGCAAATATTTACTCTGGATTTCAAGACACTGTGGCAGCCTGTGCTTAGCCGGATTCTTGCCTGTACCTTCACTGTGCAGGCCATGTCACCCACGGTTACTCTGCCGGTGAAAGCGGGCTATTTGCACACTGGATCTTATCACATTCATCAACCAGAATGTACTGGATCTTCATGCCATGCCTGGGCTTATGTTATCATCTTCCTCATACTGAAGGTCCTGCTGCCCTTGTGCTCCAGCAGCCAGCGGGGCTCAGCGTGATGCCTGCTGGTGGGTGACTTTGGGGTAGGACAAAGGGGACATCTGGGTAGGTCAAGGCCAGCAGTGCTGAGCTGGGTCCTCCCTCCCAGCTCCCACTCCCCAGTCAATCCCCTCACCTCTTAGTTCCCTGCCTCCCTCTACAAAGCAGCTGGCCTGCTTTCCAGGCATGCCTTGGATGACCTTCCTCTGTTCTGCTGTCTCCGCGTGTCACGCTGGCTCTTGTAGTAACTTCTGCTTAGCTCTCACCAATGGCCCTCAACAGAGAGCCTTCTTTGGGTCTACAGAACAGAACACGCACTAGCATTCTCTCACACTCTATTCCAGCCACAATACTTTCTTCTTTCAAACATTTCTCTGAAGCCCATTCGCCTTTCCCCCAGCCAGCCCCCTCACTGCCTCCCTCCCTCCCTCCCTCCCTTCCTTCTTAGCTTAATCATGGTCTTGCTATGTTGCCAATGGTCTAGCTTTATAGCCACTGTGTGGGCTGAAATCTGCAACCCTCCTGCCCAAGCAGCCTCCGGAATTCTGGATTCCAGGTGTGTTTCATCATCCTCATCATCCTCGGTGGGTCTAATACTCTTTCTTGGCATTGGTTTTATTGCAGTACCTGATCGGTGATGTTATCTGTCATTCACGCACTGTTCTGTATATATTACAAATTTCTGGAAAAATCCTTGTCAGATACAGAATACAATGAGGGATCCAGCTACTTTGTCAATTGGACTCCAACAAATAAAATGAGTTTTCTTGTGGATTCAGCACACAGGGGGTGGGGGGATTCTCTGAAAGATAAATGCCCTGTGTTCCTCCTGCCAACATAAAGGCATAATACTTCCTTGTTGTTGCTAAAGGAAAATAACACATGCATTCTAAAGAGAGCGAAAGCATGCAAATGAGGCCACCTATTTCCACACTGGGCCTGTGAAGTCATATAAATGTCTCCAACCGCTGTCAGAAAACATCAAAGCAACCGGTAGGGCTGAGAACAATCGCTGTTGAAGCAGCTATGCAGCTCGCCCTGTTCTGGACTGCGTGTCTGCTGCCAGGCCACCTGGCCCTGCCGCTGCCCCTGTCCCGGGAGGCTGAAGATGTGAGCACGATGCAGTGGGAACAGGCTCAGGTAACTGTCCTCTCACTGGGGTTCTCACACCGACATTCCAAGTGCGCTTCTGAATGATCTGTCTCTGGGTATTAGTGTGACAGCGCATATTCTTGTATAATGTTCCTGGTCTGAGAAGCAGAGCACACTCTGTGAGGAGTCCTGCTATCTGGCTTCCAGAGCCTTCCGGAACTCTGACTGAGTGCACAGCCCTCATCTGCTATCTGGGTGGACTTGAGAATGCCATTCCACTTCTGACCTTAAATTTTCTAATTTGGAAACTGGAGACGTGGTAATAATGATGTCAGCAAGTGGAACTAATATCCAACACTTACGACGGACTTGAACTACCGCTCGTGCTCAGGAAGCACAAGTGTTGCTAATATTATGGATTGTAAATTCTTTTCATAAGCTGTGCTGGACTGTACCACTAAGGATGAACCCTCACAGTGAAGAGACAGACTTTCTTGCATGTCAGTAGAAATTTTAACGTCTGTATTCTACCCAAGGGTTAGTCTAGCAGTCAAATAGCATGACGATGGAAACTCACATGGCTGCAGTGGTTTCAAACCATAAATAACGTGTATGTGGCCTGCCATTTGGTCATTAACTCTATTCTAATGATTCCTATTGTTGCTGCCAACAGAGACAGGCACCAGGGTAAGATTTTCTAGCTCAGAAGTCGTGTTTCTTCGAGTATATAATATAGGTGATAAGTATATCATTAATAAGTATAAAGTGTCATCTGGTAAAATCTGACCATGACTGACAAGCTTCATGCATAAGAAAAATAGAACTTTACTTCACATTCAGTTTTGACGTTTTAAAGTTGACAAATAGATTTTACCACATGGAATTACCAATATTTAACTGGTTTTTACCTTAACAAATAGCATTTTTTAGGAATCTTGATCCAGTTTTTTTTCCCCCCCTCAGGATGCTTTTTCAAGGGTAGTTAGGCTTTTTGCTTGGCACACAGATTGTCTAATAAAAGGGGGTAATTATGTATTTGAGGCCAGCCTAAGCTACATAGTGAGTTCTAGGATAGCCTGTACTACAGAGCAAGAGTCCATCTCAGACAAAAACAGAAGTAGAAAAAAAGAATGACGACATGTCTTCCAGAGAGTGTCTTCATGAAACCCACAGCTCCGGAAGGAAGGAATACAATGTTTGCTATTTGTTTGAAAGAATGTATTCATGATTATTGTGAGTGATCAGTAAGAATTGGCTGTGTTGAATGAAATGCTTCACTGGCAACAGGTAGGAAGGAATGATGTTGGCCAATTTACTTTGGTAAATGCACAGTCATGGGAGGTTTTCTGCAGACATCCCTGCCAGGAGCTCTAATAGAGACAGCAAAGCAGCACACTCCCTCCCCAGACAGAGCACACTCACTCCCCAGACGGGGCACACTCACTCCCCAGACGGGGCACACTCACTCCCCAGACGGGGCACACTCACTCCCCAGACAGAGCACACTCCCTCCCCAGACAGAGCACACTCCCTCCCCAGACAGAGCACACTCCCTCCCCAGACAGAGCACACTCACTCCCCAGACGGGGCACACTCACTCCCCAGACGGGGCACACTCACTCCCCAGACGGGGCACACTCACTCCCCAGACAGTGCACACTCACTCCCCAGACGGGGCACACTCACTCCCCAGACAGAGCACACTCACTCCCCAGACGGGGCACACTCACTCCCCAGACAGTGCACACTCACTCCCCAGACCTCCAGTGCACACTCACTCCCCAGACGGGGCACACTCACTCCCCAGACAGAGCACACTCACTCCCCAGACAGAGCACACTCACTCCCCAGACAGAGCACACTCACTCCCCAGATGGGGCACACTCACTCCCCAGACAGAGCACACTCACTCCCCAGACGGGGCACACTCACTCCCCAGACAGAGCACACTCACTCCCCAGACAGAGCACACTCACTCCCCAGACAGTGCACACTCACTCCCCAGACAGTGCACACTCACTCCCCAGACAGTGCACACTCCCTCCCCAGACGGGGCACACTCACTCCCCAGACAGTGCACACTCACTCCCCAGACGGGGCACACTCCCTCCCCAGACGGGGCACACTCACTCCCCAGACAGTGCACACTCCCTCCCCAGACGGGGCACACTCACTCCCCAGACAGTGCACACTCACTCCCCAGACGGGGCACACTCACTCCCCAGACGGGGCACACTCACTCCCCAGACGGGGCACACTCACTCCCCAGACGGGGCACACTCACTCCCCAGACCTCCAGTGCACAGAAAGCTGTGCTTTCTTCCCAGATGACTAGTTCAGACCAGTTAACCTAACAATTATCTGATTCCTTCTTATCTACAGAAATGTAAACAGCCAGGTCGCAGCAGCCCTTACCTGGCTAATGGACCTCTGTGATGCCCAAGAGTCTTTCTATGTACTTAAGTGCTCTCTCTCTCTCTCTGTCTCTCTCTCTCTCATTCTCTCCCCCACTCTCTCCCTCTCCATCTCTCTCTTTCTCTCCCCCACTCTCTCCCTCTCCATCTCTCTCTCTTTCTCTCTCCCCCTCTCTCTGTCTGTCTGTTTGCCTGTGTATGTATGCATGCATGTGTGTGTGTGTGTGTGTGTGTGTGTTAATGTGTATGTATATTTGTGCATCTATTCATTCTGTGTGTAAGAGTGACTGGGGGGAGGTGGTCAGATGTTGATGTTGGGAATCATTAGTGACCTTCCTGTCTCTTCCTAGCACTGGAGTTATAGAAACACGGTTATTCACGTGGCGTGGGGATCGAATTCAGGCCCTCAAGTTTTTGGGGCAAGCTCTTCTCTGACTGAGCGAGCCTTTTTCCCAGCCTTTGGTGCTCCCTGAAGACATGCTGATGTTCTGCTTCCTACTGCTCTAAAAATAAGTTCAGGCTTCAGAAAGTGGGTGGTGTGTTTGTCCTCAAAGTATGTACTGAGAATACACTGATCCTAGGGGATTCTTTCCTTCATCCTATTAGCCCAGTACTTCTTGCCAATATTCCATTTCCCCTAACCAGTAAATACTTACTTTATACCACAATTGTATAACAATTCTGTCTTCAAATAATTATTCAAATCTACAACAACAGCAGGTATAAAGATGCAGGTTTTCAAATAAAAGGTTCTTTTCTCTCTGTCTACCAGAACTATCTTAGGAAATTTTACCTTCGTGACTCTAAAACAAAGGAGGCCAACAGTCTGGTGGTAAAACTCAAAGAGATGCAGAAGTTCTTTGGCCTGCCTGTGACTGGAGAGATAACACCCCGAATCGTGGAGATAATGCAGAAACCCAGATGTGGAGTGCCAGATGTTGCGAAATACTCACTAATGCCAGATAGTCCAAAATGGCAGTCTAGAGATGTCACCTACAGGTGAGGCTAGCTTTGGCTCCTTCTGATGGAGGCCATGAAGCCTTTGTCCTGAAAACTCAAACTCTGTCTTCCTGTGCATTGTTAGAATCGTGTCCTATACGCCAGACTTATCAAAGCGTGTGGTGGATCAAATCGTGGCCAAAGCTCTGAGAATGTGGAGCGAGCAGGTCCCACTGAACTTCAGAAGGGTGAGGTGGGGGACTGCGGACATCATGATTGGCTTCACGAGAGGAGGTAAGGACAGCCACTCTAAGGATTCAGCATTACGCTGGCCTGCGCCTGTCAGCGGGCAGCATGCGCTCAGGCAGTGCCCTGGTCAGCCAGGTGCCATGGACCCCTTTAAAAGAAAGACGTGCACCCACTTTGTGCTCTCTCTCTCCCCCGCCTCTCTTTCCTGCTGTTCCCCTGGGGCAGACAGGACTGTGTCTCCCTCGTCTCTTCTGTCCCCTCTCTGTCTCTGTGTCTCTTTATCTCTGTTCTCTTTCCTTCCCTCTTCCCTTCCCTTTCTAATAAAACTCACTTGAGCACTGTCTGCCTGGTCCCTCCTCCTCGGTCATGGAGTCCGCCATGGAATCCGCCAAGGTCCGCCACACCTGTTATTCCTAACAGCTACTGCAGGCTAATCCTGTGTGCTTTACCCGTTTGTCATTTGTATCAGGGTCTCCTTTCAAGATTTAAATCCTCGCATGAACACTACTGAGGGCTCTTATTGGTTTAACACATGAGAGGCATTGGCTTCAATTCTCAGCATCACACACACACACACACACACACACACACACACACACACACACACGCTCCAGCGAGCCTTCCACCCTTGGCGGTCACCAGTGCCGAGCAGTAGATCAAATGACAGACAGGAGCCTGGACCAGATCCACAGCTCATCCTGTGTGTGTGAAATTGGCTGTTGGGATCGGGAGGTCAACCAGCAGGACTGGCTTCTCTCTCCAGTCTTCACAACCATGAGATGAGATGACCAGAAAAAAACTGAGTAATTAACAGAAGTCACTGCATTGTCTTGCAGATCATGGAGACAACTTCCCATTTGATGGCCCAGGAAACACTCTGGGTCATGCCTTTGCGCCTGGGCCAGGCCTAGGAGGAGATGCTCACTTTGACAAGGACGAATACTGGACTGACGGTACTGGTACAGGTAGAGCAGTCTCATGACTTTTTAGAAACCCCAGGCATACACCAACTTTTATTTTGATCATTGCTTTAATTATAATTAGAGACACCTTAAGTGCCAACTACTGTGGTGTATGCTGTAAAGTTTTATCTCATTTAATATCTTCCTTTTTAAGAATTGTGTGTGTGGTATAAGTGGGAACCCACAAGGTATGAGAGAAATGACTCTCACAAGTTGTCCTTCGATCACCATACATGTGCTGTGGTGCACACGCACGCGCGCGCGCGCGCACACACACACACACACACACACACACACACACACACACTAAAAATAAATAAGATAAGACAATGAAAAGTTTGGCCACCAAACTGGTCACAAACCTAAAGGGTAAACTGAGGGCGCTTAGACCACCTAGCTGCACCTTCCTGGCCCAAAGCTAACAAGAGCTAAAAGACAAACTCCTGATAACAATGAAGTTCGCTACCTCAGAGTTTGAGGCTGCACAGAACAGCTTCTAACTGACCACAAAACTAAAAGCAACAGTAATCATATGCAGCAGATTAATTATTTACTCTTGGTAACCCAAGGAGGTAGACACAGACCCCACACCCAAGGCACCCAAGAATGTACTTGTCAAGCCTTCTCCTCAAAAGCTTCAACACACAGGGATTTGAAGGGACTGGATCTTTTCCCAGTTCCCCCAACATTGTTTTCCAGCAGAGTATTTTTCTTTCCCTGAATTGTAATTTCCTTAATAAACTGCTCTGAGTGTGTGTGTGTGTGTGTGTGTGTGTGTGTGTGTGTGTGTGTGTGTGAGAGAGAGAGAGAGAGAGAGAGAGAGAGAGAGAGAGAGAATGTGTGTCTCCTTCCTGTGTGTTCATGAAATCCGATCTGCAGATTCCTCTTCCTATCACCTGCTGTTTCCATTACTTTCCCGACATTATTGACTCTATCCTTCTGGGACCAAAAGCCAAAATAAACCCTTTCTTCCTTAAGTTGCTTTTGGACATGATGTTTCACCACAGCAACAGAAACGTCAGTGACACATTCTCCTTCTAGCCCACCTCGCGCCTGAAGGAGAAACAAGTAATAAGGAAGGCTGTTTTTGTATGGCGTGATATAGCACAGGGCTTTTACAGTCCTTTTGATACTTACGTACACCCTTCCCTAGCTGTAGGAGTGAGCTTCCTGCATGCTGCCACCCATGAGTTTGGCCACTCTCTGGGTCTGGGTCACTCTTCTGTTCCTGGTGCCGTGATGTACCCTACCTATGAAAAGGGGAACCCGGAAGACTTCAGACTCACAGAGGATGACATTGAAGGCATTCAGATGTTATATGGTAAGATTAGGGCTTTCAAGACGAGAGTGTCAGGCTTGACAGAAAGAACTAGGAAGTGGAGAGTGGCCTGGAGATGCACGGTGGGGCTTAACCCTGAAAACCCACGGAGTAGGACAGTGGAGGGGGGGGGCCTAGCCTCAACACGTCAAATACATATAAAGGCCTTCTGAGGTGAAGCAACAGCCTTACATCCATGAAGATGATGTTCTATACTATGCATATGAAGAGATACTCGTTTTATTTTTAATTTCTACACAAATATGTGAGTGTGCATGTGCATGCCTGCATGTGTAAGCTCACAAAATACAAGACATATGTAGAATTCAGAGAACTTGCTCTCCTTCTGGTATGGGGATCCCAAGGACTGACCTTGTTCATCAGGCTAGGCATGCAGCCTTTATTTTCTGAAGCCACCCTCCACAGTTCATATTTCACCCTCTCAAGCTTCGGAAGTCCACTGTGGGATGGAAATGTTAGCATCCTTATCTGCGCACCTCAGTGCACTAAGAGAGCGAGCCATCGCCCCAAGCATCATTCATAACTGCCCCCTCCCAAGGAGTTGCCCTACATGGTCAAAAGTGACCTGGGCTCCCCTGTTTGCATAAGCTTGTAGGGAAAGTGATCGTCGTCCACAGACGCTAACAGCTATGGAAACCACTGCCCGTGAAACCTCTGACTGCTGTGGATCCCAGTCTCTCCTGGGATCAAATTCCAAAATCAAATTATCAAACCGCAAAAGTCAGTATTTGCTTGATGATGCTCATTAGAATTAGTGTTTGGGGGACAGATGGGAGGTGTGGCAAAAGCCCATGTCTCTGGATAAAGATGAGGAAGGAAGGTCAAGGAGAGGTGACTTGTGCTGAGGGCTGTGGCTTCCAGGTGCCAAATCAGCTTCTCCTGACTGCAGCTGTTGCCATGTGTTTCTACACCTTCACCTTCTTAACGCAACATGGACCCAGGAATGCAGAACTGCATAAGCTACTTCACACATAAATGAAGAATGAGAATACACTGCACAGTCTTTAAATGATCCAAAGAGAGACCTGCACTCAGGGAAAGTTATTTCTACAGGAAAAGAAATGGATGCAAGCATCTGCCGATCCTAGAATTCACCGTAGGTCAACATTTCCCAAAATGCGTTCCTAGGACAGCAGGTCGCAAAGGAAGCTATTACAGCAGAGTAACGTTGGTAGTAGTACCTGCCATCCTAAAGAGTGCTGAGCACGCATTGTAGTACTTTTTGCGATAAGTGCTGTCTGTGCTGTTCTTGCCGTCCTGACCTTGCTGTGTGGACCAGGTTGGCGTTGCATATGCAGTGATCCCACACCTTCTGCTTCTCTGTTGCTGGAATTAGACGCATGTGCCCCACACACCTCTCCCAGCTAAGACACAGAGAGGGCTGTGGGGGTTTGGCTTGGTTTGGTTTGGTGCTGGGAATTGAACCTGGGACATTGCCTGTGACTGCAGATGTAGAATTTCCCTGTGTGATTTATGACACATCTTAATGGTCTTATTTTCTTCCTTAACAGGAAAGAGGAATGATTTGTGGAAGATATAGACACTTCAGAGAGACTATCTGTGCATTCGTTGGGTTCTGTATTGCATCACCCAATCAGAATGAGCAAGCACCCTTCCTGAACTGCATGTGACATTTGCTTTATTCTTGCACGCACTGTGGGTGGGTTTTGCATATCCCCCTGAGGATCACCTATCCCGGGTGACACCAAGTTGACAGACACCAATAAATGTTACGGGCACACATAATCCCATTCTGTTCCATGGTGAAATTACTCACCCTTGAGAAGACTTTTCAGGGACAAAGGAAGACGAATTAAAGATGAGGTCAAAAACTCATTCAGCCATATTATTTGAGGTTCTTCAGGTACATCTTCACCAAATGGAGCAGGCAGACATGACCCCTCTTGTTAGTCATTGGTCTAGCCCCAAGTTATGATGCTCCCTTATCCTGGTGGCTCACTCCGAGTCCGCTGTGAAGGCAAGTTCTTCCCACAGAAAGCCCGAGCTCTTGAGGCATGTAGTAACAGCCTCAGGCTTACTGTGAGCTCTAAGTTCCTGCCCCCATACCCCTCCTGGTGCAGCTGCATCCTGGGTTCCCTCTGCATGGCCCTCTAACAATCCAAATGTCAGTATCACCTTCTTTTTTTCCAGCTACAACCCATGAGAAGAGCAAGTGTTGGTAAGGGAGGATGGCTGGGGCTTGTTGATTGCTTCCCTAGCTCTAGATTCAGTGAGAGACTGGGTCGTAAGATGTAAGTGGAGAGTGACAGAGTGAGACATTGAATATCCTCCTCTGGCCTCTGTGGATGCACACCAATGTATACGCCACACACACACACACGCACATGCACGCACGCACACATACACTCACACACTCACACACACGGACACTGAATATCCTCCTCTGGCCTCTGTGGATGCACACCAATGCATACGCCACACACACACACACACACACACGGACACACACGGACACTGAATATCCTCCTCTGGCCTCTGTGGATGCACACCAATGCATACGCCACACACACACACGCACGCACGCACGCACACACACACACTCACACACACACAGACACTGAATACCCTCCTCTGGCCTCTGTGGATGCACACCAATGCATACGCCACACACACACACGTGCGTGCGCACGCACACACACATGCACGCACACACGCACACACACACTCACACACACACACACACAGACACTGAATACCCTCCTCTGGCCTCTGTGGATGCACACCAATGCATACACCACACACACACACACACACGCACACACGCACGCACTCACACACACACACACACACACGGACACTGAATACCCTCCTCTGGCCTCTGTGGATGCACACCAATGCATACGCCACACACACACACACACACACACACACACACACACACACTGTGGGGGGATCAGATAATAATAATGGGTATATCTGCTGCCTTTGAATCCTTCACTTAACCTTTTCTCTAGCCCTGTGTGTGACCTTAAGACCCTTGTAGAGCTAGGCTTCTGCTGAAACTTGGTTTCCTGCTGTCCTGTGCTTTATTTCATGCCTTAGGACTACTTAACAAGCTTCTCTGGGAAGCAGTGCCTGCGGGATCAGGACGCCACTGCCAAAGACATGGCCGTTCCCTCCTCCTTCCTCCTCCTAATGAATGCACAGCCCCCACCCCCCGTGGAATAGAAAACAGAAATATATTTAGTTTTGCTGATATAGATGCCCCCATCATATACTCTAAAGAGGTACATTCTTCTTTTCAATTTCCCTTAGAGACATTTTTTCATTGCTCTACAACTAAGAAATACCAGCATAGCCATTAGAAATGCATTATAGAGGCGAAGCCATAATCCTCACTAAAGTATATACAGACCGCAGATCAAAGACACTGAAACAGAACGCATCTGTAGCAGTGAATGGGAAGTTACAAGCTGGTGAACTCAAGACCATATGATTTGCCATGAGCAAATGCAGTCATGCACCAAGCATCCTTTTTGCTGGCTTAACACGCGTTCTATCTTGAGCAAGAGGAGGCCGCTTTTCTCTTGCAGCTGGCATGGCTGCCTGTTCTCTCCTTATCCAGTCTTTCCTCCACATGTCCTAATGCCAGGGATGCTAAACTGTCCCAGCTGGGAGGGGAATGCTGGACTGGAGGGACCTACAAGACACTCCTTCCTGGAAACACTGCAGGTGTGAAATCTGGCTCTGGGGCTCTGAGAAGGCCACCACTGTGTCCCTGAAGTTGCCTGTGTACTGCCCTCCCCGTCATGTAGGTGAAGGCTCCTCTTCAAATTTTTCATGACATGGCTCATGTCTTCCAATGGGTTGGTCTTTTGCTCTTTGGTTTGCAAACCCTGCAGCTTGACTGGTTTTCCTGGTGCTTGCAGTATATTTCATCCCTTGTTTCAATACTAATGATAAAGGCACCCTTGACTGAGCATAGAGAATCTTACTTCAGTGAAAATGGCACAAAGACCACTTGTAAATAGAGCATCCCTTAATAAATGGAGACCTGGATTCTGTTTTAATTGTGATTAAAGGGACATCACATGACAGCTTCTGTGTTAACTGTAAGTACACAGTTTAGTACTATTGGATATATTTACATTGTTAACTTAAAAAATATCTTTTGAGACAGGGTTTCTGTATATCAGGCTAGCCTGGAGCTCTCTATGTAGCCAAGACTGACTTATAAGCTCTGCTCCTCCTGCACGCAGTGAGGGACAGGTGTATGCCACCATGCCTGATCATACGGCGCTGGTGCCAGAACCCAGGGATGTCTGCCTGCTAGGCAAACATCCTGGTAACTGAGCCACATTCCCAGCAGTAACAAGCTTCCTGGCCTCGGCACTGTTGACATTTCCTAAAGATTTAAATATGTTTATTTTATGTGTGGTTTGCCTGCATGGATCTAAAGTGCATGCAGTGTCCCCAGAGGTTTGGAAAGGACATCAGGTCCCATAAAACTGAACTGAGGCTATAGTCAGTTATGAGCCACCGGGTGGGTACTAAGAACTGAACCCCAGTCTCCTGTGAGGGCAACAATTCTCTCAACCTCTGAGCCGCCCCTCCAGTCCCTCTGTGGGCATCTTTGACTATGTGTTGTGGTTTGTTTAGCAATAATCTCCACCCTCCCACTACATGTCACTAGAGCCCTGTGTCAGCTGAGGCAGTCAGGAATGCGCTGGCATTGCCAATGTCTCCCAACGGGAGAAGTAACCCCCATTTAAGAACCACTGATTCTTAAATCACTAAAAGAAACCACCAAAAACCACTAAAGAAATCTGATTCTTATCGCCTTATATGTTGTGTCCCCTGCATCTCTTTTCCTCAAGGGCTGTGCTGGCTAGTCTATGACAACTTGACACAATTAAGAAAATGCCTCCATCAGGAGGGAGGGCCTAGACCCCTACTCCAAATGACCTGACAGATTTTATTGATCCTACGTGGAAAGCATCACCCTCCCTGTGGACTGGGGGGGGGGGGTGGAGGAGGGCGTGGGAGGAAGAAAGGGAGGGAAGAAAAGAGAGGGAACTGGGATCGATATGTAAAATAAGAAAAAATTTAAAAAAAGAAAATGCCTCCATAAGATCCAGCTGTAGGCATATTCTTAATCAGTGGTTGGTGGGCAGGGCCATCCCTGGGCTGGAGGTCCTGGGTTCTATTAGAAAGCAGGCTGAGCAAGCCATGAGGAACAAACCACAGTAAGCAGTTCCCTCCATGGCCTCTGCATCAGCCCCTGCCTCCGGGCTCCTGCCTCGCTGCTTTAATGATGAACTGTTACACAGAACTACAAGTGAAATAAACCCTTTCCTCCTCAATTGCTTTTGGTCATGGTGTTTCATCACAGCAAGGACAAGGACCATCCCATGGGAAAGGAACATCAGGATACAACTAATGTAACATTGGCCATTTTTTGAAACTCATTTGAGAAAGATGTCCCATTTAGGGAATAAAGTAACCTGTATTCCAATGCCAAGATATTGTGTTTATATGTATTGTTTTTTGTAACTTGTGTGTGTGTGTGTGTGTGTGTGTGTGTGTGTGTGTGTGTGTGTGTGTGTATGCGCATGCACAGTCTTGTCCTCTTTCTCCTCATCCTCCGCTGCTGGCACTACTTCTGCAAGTAAGCAGACTGTGATTTAAGAAGATTTCTGAGAATCTGGTGCTATCCTGCATCCCCTGAAGTACTCCAGGGGCCCGATGCCCTCTCTGATCTCCACAGGAACTGCATGTGTGCACATACCCCCACACAGAGACAGACACAGGAGGCGATGACTAATAAACTGCATCTTTTAAAAAACAGAAAATAACCCCTCCCTCAGTAGATGGCTTCCCAGCTCACTCGTGAATGCTGATCAGAGCACTAGACACACACAGCACAGAGGAGACCTAGGGTGACTGTCCAGGTGGCTTGCTGTTTCTGGCCTCGCTGCACTTTTTGGAAGTTGCCCATCCACACTTCCTGTCTACCCTAGTATCGTTATTTTCCTTCTCAGGTCTTGATGAGGTTGAAGATTAAACTATCACAACTATTATTCTCTCTTCCTAGTTAGATATATTAGGTACTAGACTTAAGTTTTCCAGCTTAGGACAACTCTATTGTAAACTCCGTTATGCCTTCACCCTAGGACTAGATATGTAGGTGTTTTGTTCTCGATTTTCCTTTTCTTAGAGCACACTTGTTATTCACAGTTTTGTATATAGTTTTGTATCAAGCCTAAATCTTTTCTTTAGACTAAAAGGGGAATTGTAGTGAGATATTCACTTTGTCTCCTTCTGTGGCACTGACCACGCCCATTGGGGGGTGGAGCCAGGGGCGGAAGTGACCTGTGGAAGGAGGTCTGAGGAGGAGCCGGGGACCTCTCTTGCTGGTGGGGGGTCGTGGAGAGGAGAGCATCCGGTGGAACTTGCTGGTGTTCATCTGTCTAGGTTGTAAATTACTTCTCCCTGAATAAACATCTATTCGGCCTATTTGTTTTTACTGATCCTTATTTAACCGCAATAGACTTCCCTGCCCAAAGCCACCTTGCTGAGTTCCATTTGGACACCCTAAGATACGACAGTGTCTCTCCAAAAATTCCCTTTGGGCTACTCGAGGACATGATTTCTCCTATAAAAAAAGACCACATTGGACAGGGTTCTCTGGAGCAGGAGAACCGATTAAGCCTGGGTAGTCGAACAGTGGCCGTCTGCACTCCTGGGCCTCTGAAGCTGGATGACTGTGCTGGCCCAGTTCAATGCTGGAGGCTTGATGGATTGCTAAAGAGTCATCACTGTCTAGTCTAAGCTGGAAGGCAAAAGAGAGTATGCTTTCAGCGGGGGGGGGGGGCGCGGGGGGCATGCTCACTCAGGGGGAGTGGCCCTTTACTCAGAACTGTTGTGTCCAAGCTGCCCACTGGAAGATGCCACCATTTAAGGTGGGTCTTCCCATTTAGTTAAAGCTCTCTAGAGATGGCCAGAGGTGTGTGTCCCTTCAGGATTGTCACTGACATCTTCATCTCCTCATTAGCTTCGTGTTCCATTCTTGTCTTGAAACCTTCCCAAAGATACAGAACAAGGACCGATCAAGTGATTGATGTGATGCATAGAGGGTCCATCGCTTGCTCTGTGCCCAGTGTGACGCTGACCACCACTGCCCCATGGTGCTGTTATTAATGCAAAAGGAGCACATGGACCAGAAAGAAAACAATCGTGCTTAACTACTGTTTGAATACTGCCGGGCTCTACTCTCTAAGGAAGCCCTGGAAATCTCCAGTCTTCTCTGCTATTGGAGCACCCTGTTTAGTTTTGTTACTTGTTTTATGTTATTGTTTGAGACAAGGTCTTGCTATGTATTCCAGACTCATCTCAAACTCATTAGGCAGCCCACGCTGGCTTCAAACTCATCGTCCTCCTGCCTCCTTGCTGAAGTTTCAGATTTGCACCATCATGGCCTGCTTGCCTCCCCCACGGTCCCCACCACCACCACCGCCACCATGGCCACCACCACCACCACCACGGCCCCCACCGTCGTTGCTAGGGGTTAACCCAGGGCCTGAAGCATGCTAGACAAGCAGAGTACCACAGAGCTGCAACCCCAGCCTCTGGCCTTTGTTATAGTTCCCTCATTTTATAAAATAAAACTTATGGTCCCTCCACTTCCAAACTTTGATGACCAATTATTAATGATTAACATGGTCTGGCAGTTAGAAAAACCTGTCACCAAGTGTGACCCCCCCCCAGGACCTTTCTGGTAGAAGGAAAGAACTGACTGAAAACTGTTCTTTGACCACCACAGGCATACCATGTCATGTGTGCATGGGAGCGTGCACACACACGTGCACGCACATGCACGCACACACTTTGGGGAGATTTGGAGCCAGATGCCTCAGAAAGGAGAAAGGCAGAGTGAGCGGAGAGTCCTGGCCATCAGGCTTGGCACAAGAGTCGCTACTTCTGCACCATCTCGCCAGCCTCCCCTAGATCTCCGGCATGTCTAACCGCATCTTGGCATCTGTGTTAGAACACCAGAGCTGACACCAGAAGTGTCCAGTTTTCTGTCATTGGATAAAAATGACCCTCAAGAGTAGCTCCTGAGAACAGCCATGCATTGTGTCCCAAGATGGTGAGGCTTGGGAGCTCAGGCACGTGGGTGGTCCTGCTGGTCAGGAAAGCAGATGGCTTGCTTTGGAAGGTTCCTGAGC